ATATATACACAATAATCTTTTATTTCTTTCTCTCTCACACATAAAATGTTTTCAATAGACCTAGTATTCTTGAAAAAAACTGCTTAATACAAGATCAACACTGTTTACTGACAATTCGCAACAGTCCACAGATTTAATGTCCACGTTCAACATTTATCACCCATAATGGACAACAGGTAACCATCAGGCTTCCACTACTGCATTTTTTAAACTACATAGAATAGGATCGATCTTATTTTCCAATGATAATATATGACCAGTATTGCAATTGTGACTAGCAATAAAACTAACAACCAGTGGTAATTTATTCATCTGGATTACCTGAGAATTGATTAAAAGGAATTCTTAAATTTTTCGAATTCCAAATGATAATTAACAGAATTGTTTATAAAAATAATTCACAGAATAATTATATAATTTAGCTATAAATATCTCTACACATCTCTATTTTCAATTATTAATTATATTAAATATGAATTAAATATTTGTTATTTGTGTTATTCTGTCAAATAATATAAACTATTTTCATTAATATATCTAATAATAATTATTCTTTTAATGTCATAATTTTTTCTGATTGTCTTGAAGCAAAATTTATATATAAGCATAAAAATATGTTTATAATTTCTATAATCATTGTGTACATGTACATATTTACCTGGTAATTACTATACATGCACATAATAGTTTTGTTCTTTCCAAGACCCAATTTACTTCCTTGGTCTGTAGCCATTCCAAAAGTAGATAAGAAACTAGCTCTTGTAGCTAATTCTGGTACCTTTTCATTGGCTACAGATATGACAGGTACCCCATCTCTGTCTGTAATTAATATGCTATGCAGACCTTCCACATTGCTTAATAATTCATAAAGAAACTTTTTCAATTCCTAAAAACAAAAAAATGTCCAAATAATTTGTGGAATTTGATAATTGTCATATGTAACTTGCGTCAATCATTATATCAATAGAGTTATGTCGAGTAAAGGAAATGTTAACAAAGAGATATTTCATATTTTGTGTAAAAAAAATCCAATTTCATCTTAATACTTTCGTACGAGAAAAAAAATAAGAAAAAATAAAAGTACACTTTATTTTTACTATAAAACTACGATAAAAAAAATTATTGGATATTTATTAATTTGTTTCACACTTGTATAATCTCGGTTAAAACTTCTTTTTTTATCGCATTATTAAAAAATAATAGAAACTTTCGTCGATGTTGTAGAAAGATGTGTATTTTTTATTTACGCAATTTGAAACAAAATACACATAACCTCAAACGCAAGAGAACACTTTTCTCCGTAAAAATATATGTATAAATGTTCAACTTACAACTGTCATCTTTTACACGAAACAAGATCGAATTAAACGACAATTGATCGAGAAAATTCTTTAAACGCATACAACGACGGTCACCCGTTCTTTCTTGATATGATAGCCGTATAGCCCGTTCTACATTGATCGCATGTCGCCAGTCGCAAGCAAATCGACCAATCACAGTCGATTATTCCGTCGAATATTCGACTGTGATTGGTCGATTTGCTTGCGACTGGCGACATGCGATCAATGTAGAACGAGCTTAATGCCCGTATCAGATTACGCATTGAAGATTGAGATTGAAGATTTTTTTTTTCTTTTTATAACCAATAATTATTTCCTTAAAAATACTTAAAGTATCGTCCGGTTCTTATTCGTTTGACTTTTCGACGATTTAAATATATGATTGGGATTGAAAATGCGCAATGATATAGTCAAATCGCAAATCCGAGTAATTAACATAACGACAAGCTCCGTGATATATTAGACTTTTATTAAATAAATGATCTGTTATTTAAAATACCTGTATGATTTAACATTTCGCTTGTATATGTATATATGATATCATAGTACGAAAAATATTTCGGCGTAAACATTAGCGTACTATTGTTAACGTGTTACGACTTATGGGCTTATCATTCGTGCGGCGACGCTCGAGCACTGATGTAGTGGTGCGAAACACTTTGTATATTATCGAATTCTTTCTCTAAACGCGATCGCGACTAATATTGAAGCATAATTTGCAATTACGCCGCTTTTACGCCATTTTTATGCAACTTTTACGCCGAGATTACGCCGCTTTTATGCCGAAATTACGCCGCTTTTACGACGAAATTACGCCATTTTTACGCAACTTTTACGCAGAGATTACGCCGCTTTTACACAACCTGTACGCCAAAATTACGCCGAGAATACGCCGCTTTTACACAACTTGTACGCCAAAATTACGCCGAGATCACGCCGCTTTTACGCCGAAATTACGTCGCTTTTACGCCAAAATTACGACAATTTTACGCAACTTTTACGCCAAAATTACGCCGCTTTTACGCAACTTGTACGCCAAAATTACGCCAAAATTACTCCGCTTTTGCACCGAGATTACGCCGTAATTACTCCGCTTTTGCACGGAGATTACGCCGAGATCACGCCGAAATTATGCCGCTTTTACGCCGAAGTTACGCCATTTTTACGCAGGAGTGCAAGCAAAACAAACAGACTTTTCGCACGAATGGCATGTTTTCAAAATGGCATAAACATTAGAGACGTTTATTCTTAATACAAGAATTAGCCAAAATTAAACGAATGTGCAACGATGATAATCCGAAAAAAGATATGGCCACGTACTATCGGCGACATGATGTCGATGATCTTCGTGTTGGTTATAGTGCCTCTCATGTACTGGTTCGGATTATGGATAGTGCTCCCGGCATTATACAAGGACGAGATTCTACTGTACTCTCTCCATTTCGTCCTCGGTAATTTCATCATGTTAAACATTGTAGGTAATTTCACGTACACGGTGCTGTGCGACACCAGTATCAAGAGGTGCATAGTGCCTGTAAGCACGGCGGCAGCCGTGGATGGGTGGAGGCTGTGTGTTATCTGTGAGTGCCTATCGCCGCCGCGATCCTGGCACTGCAATACCTGCAACACCTGCATCCTGAAGCGGGATCATCACTGCGTGTTCACCGGATGCTGCGTGGGCTACCACAATCACAGATACTTTATCATGTTTCTGTGGTATTTGTTCTTCGGCGCGGTGTATGCCTTCTCCTATGGCAGTTTTTTCATCTGGACCAGAATGTCCTTTGAATTCCCGATGTCTATCGTTAAGATGATCTTTCCCGTGGCGATCTTCTTCTTCGGTTTTGACAGTTCCATCGATCAGTTCTACCTGTTGCTGTACATCGTGTCAACAGTGGGTACTCTGTACACCGGAGTATTGTGCTTTTATCACTTTAATTTGATTCTCAGAGGCGTTGTGGGTAATGAGAGCAATAAGAAAGATTTTACATATGATATGGGTTGGAAGGACAATGTTAGAGAGGTATTTGGAGTACGATGGTATCTGGCATGGTTGCTTCCTTATGTTAAATCACAGTTACCTCACGATGGAGTCTCGTGGCATTATTTATGTTCAAAGAAAGATTGAGAATCGTTTTGATTGAGTACAATTCTTTACAAAAAATTTTACAAAAATGTCAATGATACTTTAATTACTAAGATGGAAAAAATTAATTCAACAATCGAATACATCACATTTTTAAATTAAGATAACCAGTTATCTTGCTATACTGTTAACTATATATCATACACAAAATATTGAACTATTCTTCATAACTGTTGTAAAAAAGAAATTTATATCTGTGATTAATGGATAGTATTATATATTATTTTATTAAATTGTGCACACAGACCATTACACAATTCTTTCACACTACATTTAAAGCGTTATGTATATATTGATATCTGTAATTATATATAAATATTAATTGTACCTTTCTTCTTGTGTGTTTTAAAATTAGATGAATATAAAAGACTTTCAAGTTTCTTCTGATTTCCTTAATTGTTATCTAATTTTATTATTTGATAAGAGGAAACTCTAACCACATTCAGAAGATAAAGATTTCAAAAATGAAATATATTGATTATTACTTATATGTTTAAACACAGTAAGAATATATATTTAATTATACATTATATTTTATTATAAAAATCTGTATAAGAAAGATGATAGCTTATAATATACATGAATAATAAAGAAGAAATTTCTTCTTGGCATTCTATATTATATTTACAAAATGAAATATTATTCACGAAAGATCGACTTTCATCCAGATATTACAGACATATCGAATCACAATCATATCTTTTTTACACAATCTCTCTGCTGATTATTCAAACGCAATTATGGTAAACGTCATAGGCTAATCTTTAATCCAATATTTTAAACATTTAATATTTAATTGCACATCAACATATGAGTTATCAATTTTTTTCTTTGCTTGAACATCTAATACAGTTTACCCTAAACAGTATAAAATTTGTCATGTAAATATATAAAACTGTATAAAAAATATAAAAGGAAGGTTTTTAAACAAACATTTCTGGAAGCTGCAAGCTATAAAATAGGAAAATAATTATCTCTTTACATTTGGCTTTTTTTCTTTCTTGTAGTAATTATCAGTTGTATTGTTTTTATACTGCTTAGAGAGGGTTTAATATATGTATAATACATTGCAATATGTAACGATACAATTTCGATAGAGATTCATTTCAGTCGCGACACACTCATTGTGCGTCAAATAAAAAGAACGGTTCACATTTTATATATTGTGATTTTAAAACAATTATAAATATACTATATAAATGCATACCAAACAACATGGCAAGAGTATTATTCTATGTATAGATCTCCTAGTTTCATGAAAGACTTCATTTTATGACAGTGGATCATCCATATGATCATCTGACAGCACTCTAACTTTAACACCAACAATTTTTTCAGTCTCTCTCACTTGCTCTTATTTTTGTCTCACTTTCACTTTCAAAAAGCCATCAGAAAGATTTATGTAAATTTTTGGAAGATAAATCTGCTTTATTTGATGGCGACTAGTTTGAGCATATATCATGAAACAAGGAAATACATGTACTATATAGTAATATTAAATAATCGTGTTTTATATTTAAAAAAGAATGTATATATACTTATAATTCATTCTTATTTCGTTGACTATATGTATTATTAGGCGTATCTTTATATTCTTATATCTTTCACAAGGCAAAGTGTTAAACAATTGTAAAAATCAATAATAAAGAAACATTCTAGACGCGACAAGATTATAAAATTACTAAGTTCAGAATGACTAAAAAGATCGATTTTGTAATTACATATTTGGCAATTTAATTTTTATTCCAGACTCATGAAAGAGAATACATCGTTGCTAATATGAGAGGCATTATTTTGATTTTTGTTTGAGAATTATTATTTCATTACTATTTACTGTGACTTTTCTCAATTTGATACCCCATTTAAAAATGATCGTTATAATTGAATGATATCACAACCTGAAAATTTGTGACTTACCAGTTTTTTAAATTAGGACAGATGATCTAAACGACGCTTACTGATCCAGGAATGTTGCACGACGGCGATTATGCATAGCACAAAGTGCATAAGGAAGAGAAGATCACACTTTGGGCAATAGACTGATGTGGCTCTTTTTTTTAGTTCTCTTAACAGCAAACTTAATGCATACTAGTACGAGTATCGCTGCTGAAGTAACATATAGCACTACACAGATGCTGATGTCGAATACATTCAAGTCCCAGCCAAAAGCGGTGGTGTGTTTCTCCTTGGCGAGTCTCCCCAACCTAATTTTCCAACTGTTGCTGCTGTTGATCGAGCCGAAACCGCTGTTATAGCTAATCCCCTCATATTTGATGCTGCTATAACTATACTTGGTTCTTAAATATCGCAGCACTTCTTCCTCGTTCCAGCTGCCATTAACGAATCTGCACGTCGGGCAATGTTCAGCCGCGGGGTACTGTATTTTTTTGTGCTCGGGATCTTCCGTAGCATCACCCGACAATCGAGCATTCACTTCATTATGCGCCCGCCACACCCAAAGCACGGCTTCGTCTCTGCTACGCGTGTCGAATATCTTATTCTTGCCGGCCATCTCCACGAAATGTGCGGCGCAGTCAGCACATCCGAAAAACGTTTCGATATAGCCATGCATCGCTCGTAGCACTGCCACAGGATCTTGCGAGAAATCTGCCTGAGGAACTTTATTCGGTTTCAACGCGAAGTTCACGGTTAACATATGAAATATGGTCCACAATCCGCAGGGGTATCCCCGATATGAATTCGCGCTACCCTTGCATCCTATCCACTGATGAGGCAATCCCGAGTATACCGGCGACATCTCTTCCTCCGTTGTCTTCGCTAGCTGGCTGAATTCTTCGCCGGTCATGGTAGTCCTGCTCTTGATGACGTCGCGTATCACCTCTAAATATGTGTTACTACGCCGTAGAGGAAAATACGCCGCCAGCACCGCGATGTATTTTCGTAAGGCTTCCATTTTCTCACCATCTATCGACTTGGTTAAAGATATCTCGTTGTTCATCGAATAACGCAATGCGTTCTCTAGATCGAGTTGGTATAGATAATCATCAGTCTTTTTCAACGAACGTTGTTCCTCTTCCTGCTCTTTGCGAGACTTGACAATCGCCCCAATTGTTGTTTGATGTGCATTCTCGACATTTTGTGCAATATCGTGGGATACTGTCGTACCTATTGTCTCATCAATGTTAACTCCTCTCGCGATTACGTAATCCTTAATAGCCCGTCGCACTCCCTGTCTTGACGATACTTTCACATTAACGACCCTCTGCGACTCATTGCGCCCAAAGGCTATCAAAGTCGGAAATTTGGTAACCTTGTTCATCACGCATAATAGTTCATTATCGGAAGTCACCCTGCGTATCTGCAAGCTGCTGATTCTGTGTAAATCAAGAATGACCTCCGTGCCCAAGTCGGAATCCGTATTTTCGAAAATAAAAAAGAAATACTTTACATTATTGGATGTTGTTCTCCATATGTCCGTTATTTCAACGTTCCTGCAATAAATAGAATCTTTTTTTGCAATGCAGTTGGAATGAGAAGTCTAGGAAATTGCTGTGGAAAATTTATAATATACCTATATGGTGTGATGTTAGGCCACGTGGATCCTCGTCCTTCCTGTTGTTCCATCTCAAGTCTACTGATCAAGTTATGCCTCACCGAATCGGTGTTATCCCCCTTTTCTATCACTAAACCTAAAGATGGTGGATGCGCATTCACGGAGAAATACTTCAACATTGGATAATGCATGATCTCGTATTCGCGACAGATTGGATTGTTGTCATCGTCGGCGCAATCTATCGCTGCAACTACGACGATATCGTTCCAAGCTGAAATATTTGTCATTTTTTTATTCATATTTTATTGAATATCTTTGATAACCTCTTAAATCTTTTTCTTCAAATTATTATAATGTATTTTAAAACTGCTGTACAAAGAAAAAAGATTGCACGCAAGTATTTTGACACACTTTTCTATTCTAGTCAAATTAAAAAACGCTATTAAGTATACAGTTTATCGAATAGTTCACAGTTTTTTCCTTAACTGTTTACTTAACTCACAACAGGAAACTTACAAAGAATGTCGCTTGCCAGAGCTTTCCAAGTCGGCGCGAATCTATAACAAAAGCCACACCAACTGTTGTAAAACTCAACAAGCCAACTCCTTGTGCTGCTGTAAACATTTGTTTTGAAGTTTGTGGCATTAAGAATCACTACATCATCGCTGGAATTATACAAGCCTTGACCACCCATCAGATTTTGATAATGATCCCTAAGAGGTACCGCTGCGCTGATGCAGTTTATCATCAGAGCATTCAGTAGCCACAATTTCAATACAATCCCTTTTATGTCTAGCTCCATCTTCTTTTTATATCTTTGATAATTGACATTAGAATCTTTAGATTCTTCTTTTTCTGTAATTAATATTCTAAATTAAATATTAATCTTAAATTGTAGATATTAATTAAATATCTCTTAATATGACTTAACATGAAAATATTTTAAATCAGTTTTTGAATAATTAGTTTGACTAATTAATGACTTTAAAAAAATAAATAATAATAAAATAATAAAAAAATTGAATTGGAGTAATTAATAACTGAAAATTCAGGCGAATTAAATAAGAATTAATTCAGAAGAAAATATAGAATCATATTCTTCAATTGATTTTATGTAATAATGTGAAATTTCAATATGTCAAGTTTAAATATAAAGGTATAAATTGAAAAAATACGCAAAAATAATTATCTTTCTTGTCATTTTTACTAAGAAAAAAACCTTAAAAATTAGATTAGATAATTATGATTGAAAGAATACAGCCGATAATTTTGAGATATCACATAATTCTATCATTTAAAATATAAATAGAAAAAAGATTTACTCAAAACGCATAATCTAAGATTCACGCGAAAAGAATCTACTCAGATAACACGTAAATAACGCGTAAATTTCACTTTATAATGTGAATTTGATTTTGATTTATAATAAAAATACAATAATAATACAATACGGACGCACAATAATACCTGCGTATGATTCGCGCGTTATCTCGTATCTTTTGACGTATACGTTCCTAGTCGGTTGACACGTTGAACGACAGTGGAACCTCGTTGCTTCCACCCTTCTAACATTAAAAGTGTAATTTACTAATTTACATTGATTTATGTATATACAGGATACCAATCTTTCTCATGACATGATTAAACATAACCTGACATTCAATGATTTGCCCGACGCATAGATATAAGGTTAAACCAATTGGCCGCGTTCAATGAAGAAAACCGCTCAGTAGCAATCGAACGTGATTGGCTTTTACTTTTAGTTGGATAGCGATATTCGAACGTGATTGGTATACTTTTAGAACTAATAAATCAACGTCTTGTTGACAAGACGATGCTCAACTGTGAACCTGCTGAATGCGCCCATAGATATAAGTTATCGAGCCGAACCGAATATATCCGAAAGGAACCGAACAAGATCGCATTTGGATGCATCCCGTATCCCGTTTGCGTCTATTCCTATTCTAGTCCCCCCCCCCCCTCCCCCTT